ACTGCTGCATGTTATTTTACGCCTAGGCAAGCCTTAGGTGCTAAATTTGTCAAAACTGGAAACGTGCTTCTTTATGTATGCTTAATTATCATTTAAAATCAGTAGGCAAGCCTGATTCGGGCTTCTTTTCTGAGTCATACAATAAATTTGGTTCTACTGTTATACCATGCTTAGGATTTTAATTCAGACCTTATATGTGTATGAGTCATGGTATCTATGTGCATTACTTGTGGAGGTATATCTAAGCCTTCTATCGGTTTTCTGTGTTTTCCCCCCTAAATCCAGTCCTATGTGTTCTTATTTGTCGCCTAGTATTTTGCCTTTAAACCTGAGGGTCTGCCTAGAATCTTCCTTCTTTTAAATGCAGCCCGGGACTGATAGGAAGGGACGGGCAATAGCATGCAATAGGGGTCGAGACCAACTCTCGCTTTAATTACCTTCACGGGGCGGGAAAGGGTAGATATGGATATGATAACTGGTGCGTTAATACCATGTGTAGCCCCTCTTTAAGGAGTGTCATACCCGGTATTGCATTGATGTGATCCATATTATAATAAACCTAGGACACCCCTTTTTACATTCACGAATATGCTTAGATTGTAATTCTTTTCAAAATCTTGCTTTCATTAATTGCTTTTCAAATATCTATGTTCTTAAACTTAAATCCCATATTATTTGAGCCCTGCTTGTTTATTTGCTAATTGTACAAATTCACAAAAAACTGTTTGTCCGGGAATCACACAAGTGGATCCTGAGGGTACCTAACACCTTCCCCTTAGGATAATTTCAAGCCCTTACCCTATCTCTGGTTATCAAACGTAGTTATAGATGAACCCTATAGGTGTCCTAACGCACCTTAAATCTTTAGGTGGCGATTCTTCAAAAATGTAAACCCCTCTCCTAAAAGGAAAGAGTTGTCCCAACCAAAATGTCATAAACCCGATTCCGCGAGGAAAAATGGGGGCGCGACAAACATCATATCTGAATCAACAAAATAATGAAACAGTAACACGTGCACGACATCACCCTTCGTGCTTTTACTCCCATCCTCACCATATGAAACAATTGAATGGCACAACATCACCCTTCGTGCTTTATCTCACATAATCATGGCACAACATCACCCTTCGTGCATTAATCCTCACAATATCGGCACGACATCACCCTTCGTGCATTAACTCTCATATCATAGCATAGAATTATCCTTCGTGCATTAACTCTCATATCATAGCATAGAATTATCCTTCGTGCATTAACACTCATAATATCGGCATGGCATCACCTTTGTGCATTACACTCATTCAAAATATCATGCACGACATCACCCTTCATGCTTTATAGTCTTCCTCACCCAAATAATAGAAATAATATGTCCCGACAAGTGAAACAACAATATCAACAATAACTTCCCGGTAAGGGATTCAGCTATAACCAATCTCGTTTTCAACAATTACTTAACAAGAATGAAACTCAATTTGTTCCAATTCTCAATAATAAACAATTACCGTGAAACATCCATAAGTTTTGTTCAACATTAATAATCATCAAATTGAGCATGATCGATACATAATAGAGCCACAACAATCATGATATAAGACTCACGGGCATGCTCGACACCAACGTATAGATACTCGTCACCACACCTATACGTTGTACTCGATACAAATACATAGCAAATAGACCACAACTCATATTCCCTCAAGCTAAGGTTAGGCCAAACACTTACCTCGAATACACGGACAAGATTAAGCTTCAACTACCTCTTTACCTCTTAGTTCCACTTCTAATTCACTTTTATCTAGTCACAATTTATTTAACGATATCAATAAATGCTAAATAAACCAATTCTAACGCATGAAAAGAGGTTTCCCATTATTTTTCCCAAAAAGTCAAAAATCGAACTCGGGCTTGCTTGGTCAAAACCCAAAGTTCGAACCAAAATCCGATCACACATTCAATCACGAACCCAAATATGTAATTAGTTTTGAAATCAGACCTCAAATCAAGATCTAAATCTCAAAAATTTAAAAATCCTAATTTCTACCCAAAAACACTCAATTTCCCATAAAAACCCTTGATTTTAAAGTGAAATCATGTAAAAAGATGTTATAGATTGAAGAAAATAAGTTAAAAATTATTTGCTAATGATTTGGAGAAGTTTGTGCCTTTGAAAAATCGCCTAAGGAGGTTTAGGGTTTAAGAGAGTTGGAAAAATGAAGAAAATCCCATCTGAAATCTCATTTAGTAGGTGCAGTTATCGCAATTGCGAACAGGGGTTCGCAATTGCAAACTCTTCAAAAGTCTGCTACCTTCGCATTTACGAAGGATATGTCGCATTTGCGACTCCTGACTCTTTCGCATTTGCGACCAAATTGTCGCATTCACGAGAATGGCCTGCCCAAGCTTGGTTCGCAATTGCGATGCTTGGGTCGCATTTCCCATGCCTGAGAACTTTGCATTTGTGAAGCCTAATCTCACAATTGCGAGATCAGAGGCCTGCTACACAACTGCAACATACCAGCAATTTTCCTAAGTCCAAATCCACTCCGCAGCCTATCCAAAACTCAACCGAGCTCTCGGGGCTCCAAACTAATCATGCACGCAAGTTTAAAAATAACATATGGACTTACTCGTACGATCAAATTATCAAAATAATATCAACAACTATGAATTAAACCTCAAATTCATGAAATTACCCAAGAACAATGAAATTTCCATTTTCTCAACTATAGGTCCGTTTTATACCAAACCAATTCCGATTCTTACCAAATTTCAAAGATTCAACTTAATTATTATTCTAAATTTGTACCAGGCTTCGGATCCAAGATATGGGACCGATATCATCAAGAAAATGCATCAATTCACTTCTAAAAGCCTTTATATTTTCCAACAAATAATTTTCTTTAAAAATTTCTTTTCTCAAGCTTGGGACCTCGGAATTCTATTCCGGACATACGCTCAAGTTCCATATTTTACTACGGACCCTACGAGACCATCAAATCATAGGTCTGGGTCCGTTTTCAAGAATATTGATCAAAATCAACTTTAACCAATTTTAAAGGCCAATTTTATTATTTTTCTTAAATTTCACATAAAGCTTTTCGGAAACGCGTCCGGATTGCACACGCAATTTGAGGTAAGACAAAAAGAGGTTTTCAAGGCTTCGAAACTCAGTTTTGACTTCTAAAACAATAGATGACCTTTAGGGTCATCACAACCACCAATTACCCTTGAACACCGTCGCTACCCACCATTAGACCCAGATCTAAAATCACGAAGTTGCGATCAATCTATTACCCGCTGCAAAAACAATAGAGGAGGAAGATCGGAGGCGTCACCATATCTGGATCTGACGGAGATGCTGGAATCCATGGCTTCTTCTCCTTCTTTGTATCTCACATTTGAGTGTATTCATCTGGCCGGAAACTTATTCCTCCACCTCTTCTTTTCACGCCGAAAAAAGGAGCCAACTCTTTCTCCTCCACTGCCTTTCACACTGGAAAAATATTGTATAAATAGTATGTGTATTTTATATTTCATCAGAGATCTAAAGTGTATTTTGTATTTTTGTCGGAAATCTAATGAGATTTGATTGTTTTCTCCAGTTTTAAATATAGTGTGTTTTGTATTCTCGTCGAAGATTTGACCACATTTTGCGGTAAACAGTGAATTTTAGTTTACTCCCTTAATAGGTTAAGCATAAAATTATCTTTACCTTTAGCATAAACTATTAATCAACAATAACAACATCTCAAAAAAGGAAGAGCTTGTTTTACTTTTCTATTTCATTGTTTTATAGGGCGCGACTAAAGATAACAACTTTACAATCATTTGAAAAGGTCTAACAAACTCAATGTTGTATCATTAAAATGAAAAAAATCATCACTCCTCGCTTTTAATGGATCCTTGCGAACTGGCTGTTCAGTGAAAGATTCTTCACAAGTGACAGAAAAAGCCATGGCACTACTTATACCATCATTCACCATATCAAAGTTATTCTCGTCTAAATATTTAATCGAACTTGTAATTCGTGACACGGCCAGATCATAAGTATCCCGACAAATTTGAAGGCATTGCTTGAGAATTGGCTCCGTTGGTTGCTTCAATATAATTAGAGTTTGATTATAAATGTCCTCAGCCCTGGCTAAAGATAATTGAAGCATGATACGCACCAAACCTTTCTTATCAGCAGAAGAACTTTTAGGATCCGCTCTAAGAGAACTGACACATAATTTGTAGTCTGTAGACTTTTTGCAAATATCTTCTATCAAATCTCCTGAAGAATGAGCCACAAAAGAGAGAAAGAAAAAAAAAAATCACTATTGAAGTTCTTAAGGAATTCATCTTTTTTTATCTTTTGTGTCTCATGATGAACTATTTTTATAGAATCTAGTATTGACATTTATGTTGGTATTACTCTAATGAGATTGTGGTAATCAGATTTTACTTCTTTTTTTTTGAGAAAAGAATTAAATGCTATAATTTAATGTGGATGAAATTTCACACAAGCAAGAATCATCTTTTATCACCTTCCTATCTGTTACCAAGTGTGTAGTGTTATCTCTTAATTTAAAGGAATAATATAAAATTTATTCCAAATATGATTTTCGTTCAATATTTCCTTCAGAGAATTATGAACCTATTATTGACTATTGAGCATTGTGAAGTCTATAGTAAAAGAATTACTAATAGTCTTGTCGTGTTACTTTAGAATTGCAATGACAGTGGCTACACTATTCGACCAGGCACCTACTTATTTCGTAAATAATTTGATTAAAAATTTGATAATAAACTCAATTTCATATTTCACAACATATGAAAATTTCGTATCGCGAAACTAATTCAGTAAACTATCATACCAAGTGCCTGAGGAAAATTGCATATCTTGTTTGCGGAATATTTGTCTGTTTTTATAATTGGGATGCAATGACCACACGAGCCATTGATCTGATGACTGTTTAATTTGGTTTCTCTTTCAAGGGGTGAATGGGCAAGGATTCATGGCGCGAGGCATCACTTTTCGAAACGTTGCTGGACCTCAGATGCTACAGGCAGTAGCTTTAAGAGAAACTGCTGATTCCTGCACCTTCTATAGGTGTAAATTCGACGGTTTTCAGGATACTTTAGACACACATTCTGGCAGTTCTACGGGGAGTACCATTGACTTTATTTGTGGTGATGCAGCTGCAGTATTCCAGAATTATTTAATTGAAGCACGTATGCCACTTCCTGGCCAATATATTACCATCACATCACAACAGAAAAATATTGAGAAAGAATCATTTGGACTCGTGTTGCAAAACTGCACGTTGAAATTAGCAACTCCAGATGTGGGTAACGTAACTATGTATTTAGGGCGGCCATGGGGTGACTTGAGTGAACGGGTCGAGTTTCAGGGAGAGCCCCTTGTTCGCCCATTCTACATGCAATTCAAAAATAGGGGACCTGGTGCAAACACAACGGGACGTGTGAAGTGGGCGCGTGTCACTAGTGATCCTAATGTTGCATCAAGTTTCAGTGTCAGGAATTTTATCCATGGTGATAAATGGATACCCTCCATAGTGTCACATTACTTAGATCTCCTATGAATGCAATTGATACTGTAATCCACGATTTCTGCTACTTATCAGATAGCAGTATAATATTTGTTAGTAGTATTAATATGGCATGCAATTTTTTGTCTCAGCAAAATATGCAGTAAAATGTTAAAGACTCATATTTTTCATATCTTTATGAAATTCACTGCAAAAAAAAGAAAATGTTATAAATTTCAGTCTCCAGTCGAGCAAAACCACGTTTGCAGAAGCAATATGATATGAGGTAGCTTCGATGATAGTAGCAGCAGAGGCGGACCAGGATATGAAGGTAACATGGCACCACTATTGTTGTTTTAATCATTCAATATCTATAGGCCGACTAGTTCAGATTAGCACGGCGTAGGGGCTCATTAAAGGGGAAATGCTCCCCACTAGAAATTTCTTCGTTCTTAAGGGTTGAATTGAAAACCTTTGGTTAAGAGTAGAGTGCAGTACATCCACTGGTAGTTCTTTAACGTAGACATACCAATTACTAACTACAAAATTTGGTGTGCAACCCTTGGAAAACCTAATTATTGTGACAATTGATGAGCAAAGCATAAGCTTCAAACATATTATCAAATATCATTAATTTAGTGCTAATATAACACAACTACAAATTATATGTCTTAACACTAATCAGATAGGGGCAAAGCTACACTATGGTAAGGATGGTCAATTGACCACCCTTCGTCGGAAAATTGCACCGCGTATATATAGGTAAAATATTATGTTTTAGAGGTATATGATATATATTGAATACTCTTTGTCAGGATATTTTTTTTTTACTTCTTTCAAGTTTGAATATCCTTAAAAAAAATCTTGGTTTCCCTATAATTATCAATTGAAACAGTTAAAGTTGACAATGATAGTCCCTACAAAGATGCTTCGGCATTTGCTTATACAAATAATAGTATTCATTGTTAAGGTCAGTTCCTACCAATTTGTATAAAACAGAAATCGCAAAGAATCAAAATGCTTGAATAAGTAAAATCTCTCCTCTATTAGAAATAGCTTAACAAAATTATTTCTCTTTCTTTTATATATCAAAAAGACACTTATCTTTTGCTATTTTATTCACAAGGCACTTAAACGAAAAGTAATATATCATGACACTTTTTAATAATGTGACACCTGATTTTTTAAGCCAAAAAATAGAAAATACTAACAACTTGTTCCAACCAAAAACCTCCGATCTGACTTAATATATATTCGACCCGTAAAATCCCTTTATATGCTGACAAATGCAAAAATAGAGGTCAATAATTTCAGTCTCGATACCTGTTAAGGGTTTTTAGTCGCTTAAATCGTAAGAAAACTGCATCAAATTATTATTCCTTCTTTCTTATTCTCCTTATTCTTTCTTCTTCTTCTCTGATGACCTGAAGTTGGATCATTAAACAATGATCTTAGAAGTGACTATACGCTTTGGAAATTGGAACACATCACATAAGGAGGGATGTTTTGGGCCGAAATATCTTAAAACTTTAGATAAATGGGCGTGCTCAAGAGCCCAAAATTGATTTATTTATGGGGCATTTGCATCTATATCCGTTTTTTGGGTCACCTTGTAACTCATACCCGCTTTGTAAAAAAAATTACAAGCGTATCCACTTTTCGCGTAACTTCAGACATACGGACCTGAAGTAGCAAAAATTTGTGTGTTAAGTTTGAACTTCAGAATATTTTGCCTGAAGTGTAGCAAAACTTTAGATATTTTTGCATGAAGTTTGGCCTGACTTGCAAAGGCAATCACGCAAACTTCAGTTCATAGTGCAAATGGCAAACTTCAGTTCAATAAAACTACAACAAGTTTTGGCTGAAGTTTTTGTTTGTAATCGCTGAACTTCAGCATTCTAGTAGCTGAAACTTTGTTCTGTATTTGCTGAGCTTCAGCATGTTTTAGCTTAAGCTTTGTTCTGTATTTGCTGAACTTCAGCATGTTTTAGCTGAAGTTTTGTTCTGTTTGTGGTGAACTTCAGCATTCTAGGGCTGAAGTTTGTTTTGTATTTGCTGAACTTCAGCATTCTTAGAGCTGAAGTTCTAAACAACAATGAATTTAATAAATCATGATTAGCAGCGATTGATGCTGTTCATTTCAAAGATTAAAGAATGAAAAATATTTTCGACATGAAAACAAGTTACTACAGATAAATTAGAATAAAAAACCAATGGGCATGTAAAGCTAAAATATCTAAGAGATTAAATTATTGTGAATAACACCAAACTGAACATAATGGGACAAGCAGATATATATGAATCATCAGGCTAGAACGCATAACAATATCTCAAGCTTCAGCATTTAGAAAACTAAGGAGGAGAAGGAGGAGGATAAAGAGGCCTTAAGTTGTTTAAACAGTGGGTACAAGTTAAAACGTTTTTTAAAAAATGGGTTTAAGTTAAATGGGGACGACCAAATAAGGCACCCCATGCAATTTTTACCTTATTTCTCGAGGATCAAACAATGAAATAATGGATCCTTTTTGAACAATTTATTGTAAATAGTGAATTTTATTTTAATCCCTAATCTTTTAGGTTAAGCATAAAATTTTCTTTACCGTTAGCTTAAACCATTAAACAACAATAACAACATCTCAAAAAAGGAAGAGCATGTTTTACTTTTCTATTTCATTGTTTTATAGGTTGTCACTAAAGATAACGACTTTACAATTATTTGAAAAGGTCAAACAAACTATATATTGTATCAATAAAACAAACTCAATATTGTCACGACCCAAAATTCATTAAAGGTTGTGATGGCGCCGGACACCGCTGTCAGGAAAGCCAATAATAAACACTTAGTTTAGTTCTCATTTTAGTAATTTGAAATCGTGATTTTTCCTCAATTAAATAGTAAATGATGAACATTACAGAGTAAATAATAATATTTTTTTCTTGCAAATTTTAATACTGAATAACCCATAATTATCCCAGAACCCGGTGTCATAAGTGTGTAAGGCCCCGAAAAATTTCGCTAAGTAATCTAGGATTTCGTGGTGCCACGTAGGCTAATTATAATATTTTATGTGCTATTAACATGGTGGGCATCAATTGGATTTGCTAAATAAGTGTACAAGTCTTATGGTAAGTAATTTGGGGTCCAAGGAAAGGCCTAAGCCTAAGTCACATTGGAAAATTTCATAATAGGCTAAGATTCCAACTAAGTTTGCACAAGACCACACTTTAAACAAGCATATCTGAATATATATATATATATATANCAATCGCAGATCTGTCGCAAATTGGGCCAGTGTTGCCAAATTTTGGGCACCTATTTTGCGGTGCATTTTGCAGCCTACATTCTTGTTTTGCGGTTCATTCTGCAATCGCAGACCCGGTTTCGGAAGGTTATAACCTGACCCCATTTTAATATATAGGCTTTGGGGTTCATTTTGGGATCATTTTCTACTGATTTTAAAGAGAAATGAGAGAACATAGAGAGATAAAGGAGGGGCCTAACTTCATAATCATCCAAATCTTGCTCAAGTCTTCAAGAATCAAGGAAGATAACCATAGATTGTCCTCCATCCGGGTAAGTCCTACTTCCAAAACTTCATGCAATAGGTTAAAGGTTCAAATATATTGTGGGGGTCAGAAATAGGTCATACATGTGTGACTAAGTTGTAGTATATAATGTTAAAGAACTAGTATGGGTAGTTCATGTTAAAATTGGTTGAGAGAGGAAGGAATCGCCATTTTTAAACCTTGTAGTCTACTTCACATGTTAGGTGTTTGATGAATCACCTAAGAGAGTTGCACCATGGATAATCTTCCTAATTATTAATCGATTTTCGCTATCTCCTTATATTATTATTGCTAGAGGTGTTGGTGTACTGTAGAGATTTAAGGAAAGCTCTATTGAGGTATGTATGGCTAAAATCCCACCTCTTAGAAATTGAGCTTCCATGGTGCCCGTGTAAATATTGTAAGTTTGAAACGTGATTGATACAGTACTTGTTATGTTAAGTGGATTATTATTTTGAAAATGTATGTGGTAGGTACTTCTTCATATGTTTAATGTGTTATTCTTTGTAAATGGAGGATGTGTGGAGAACATGATCTATGTGCTAAATGCCTAAATGTCATGCCAAGGTTACTTTAGGACTAATATGCCAAACTTGACGAATTTCTCTCTATGCTTATGATTTAAATTGCCTTTGTATACGCATACAATCTTAAGTGGCAAAGTAAATGTTGAAAATGGGAACAATGTGAAACATGAATTATGGAATATAAATCATGTATTGAAATGCTTAGACCTTAAATTAAGATTGAAGCTGCATATGTTGTGTCCTCTATGTGAAGTCTCATCTATGCTTACAATTTTATTTGCTCTTGTGTACACATATCATCCTAACTCACAAATCTAACATTGAAATTGGGAATGATGTGAAATGTGGCCTAGTTCCAAATATATGACGTAATAGATATGGACCCAAGTGCCTATGAAATGATATATGTGAAACAAGGATCGAATTGAGATGATTGATGGAAAATAGTAACGTCTCAGGGAGACGGCTTAGCCGATCGGGCCGTGATCGGACGCCATGATATATATATACACGTGGTGGTAATGTATTGATGATTGAAACTGGAAAGTGTGAATGAAATAATGGTAACGTCTCGAGGAGACGGCTTAGCCGATCGGGCCGTGATCGGACTCCGCTCACGGAAGCGGTGGTAATATGGATAATGATGCAACAATGTGCGATGCTCCAATCTAAAATTTCAAGAACTATGTGAAAATCATGTGAACCTCCTTATATTGTTGATATGGTGCTTATTTGAAACTTTGTTGTCTGTATGATTTCCTCTTTATTCTCGTATGAAAGTTCTTTCTAACTACATGGTGTTTAGTTATACATACTAGTGCTATTCGATGGCACTAACGTCCCTTCTACCGGGGGCGCTACGTCTTTAAATGGATGTAGGTGTTTCTATAGCAGACAGTGTTGTTCGCAACTAGTGCCGCATCATCCTTTCAGCTGACTTGGAGAGCCCCACTTCGTTTT